CTCCAACCTTGGCCACTTGAAGACTCCTGGACTTCAACTCCCAGAATTCCACTTTGCTGGCTGAGGAATCCTGGGAGTTGAAGTCCAGGAGCCTTCAGGTGGGGCCAAGGTGGGAGGGCCCTGCTTTCAGGGGGGAAGGGGGACTTGATTCCTGGTCTAAAGAGGGTCTCCCTGTTTAGGGACTCTTGGTTGGGGGGCTCAAGATGTCCCCCCCCCGCCTGAAATCTTTCCTGCCAACCCCAATCCATGAGATATGCTGGACTGCAACTCCCATCCTCCCCCCCACCCCAAATCCAGACCTGCCCCAGTCGGGCTTCTGGGCCTACCGGTTGCCGTGGTGACCCTGGGCACTTCCGGCTGTTTCCCGGGCAACGGCCCCTCCTGGTGCAGGATGCTGCTGACCCCGAAGGCCGCCTCGGGGCTCTGGATGGAGGCGATGACCCAGCGGCCGTCCAGCGAGCGCGGGCAGCCCCCGCCGCCGCCCTCCGGCCCCGCCGCCAGCCCCGCGGCCCAGGGCACGTGCGCCTCCCGCGGGCGGTAGGGGTTCATCTCGCACGCCGGGGCCCCCTCGCCGGGCCGAGCGCTGGAGCGGCCCCAGCGGGGACGGGCGTCGGGCTCCCGGCCGCTCCAGAGGCTCCCGGAGGGGTCTGTGCGGGGAGGGAGGGAGGGAGGGTTTCAGGACCGCAGCCTCCCTCCCGCCTTCCCTGCTCCCGTTTCCTCCCTCCCGCCCGGCTCCCTACCCAGCAGCTGGAAGGCCAGGCCGGGCTCCACCTCGGCGGGCAGGTCGCGCTCCAGGGCGGCTTCGGGGAGGCGCTGCCCGGGCGGCGGCAGGACGAGCAGAGCGCGGCGCTGGGTCAGGTCGCTGGGCATCACCCCGCCGCCGCCGCCGCCCGCCTCCTCCACGAACCAGCAGCCCAGCTTGGCCGGCGGGGAGGCGGCGGCGGCGGCGGCCAGGGAGGCACCTGCGGGCGGGGGGGAAGACGGGAGTGGCTCAGCCGGACGGCTCCGCCCAAAGCGGGAATCCCCGCTCGGCCGGAGGAGCTTCCGTGGCGCTGCCGGCCTCCGGGGGTCGCGGGGGCCGCTTCGGGCCGTCCAAAGGCTCCGGTCGGTCGGTCGGTCGTCTGGGTTGGGCTCCCCTCGGGGGGATCGCCGGATCCCCGCTTCCCCCCTTCCCCCCCAAGGCCCGGGAGCCCCTCCCGCACTCACCGAGGAGGAGGAGGAGGAGGGGGGACAGGAGGGGGCTCCGCTCCCCGCGGGCGAAGGAGGAGGAGGAGGCGGCGGCCATACCGAGCGCAGCGGACGGGCAGGCGAGGACCGGGAGCTGCAGAGAGAGTCGACGCGACCCGTTTCGGCCCGGGTCGCTTTCACTTTCGCCGGAGGAGGAAGGGGAGGCGGCCGAGCCGGGCCAATGCGGCCCCCTCCCCGCCCCCCTCTCCGTCCCTGGGCCGGCGCTTGTTGGGGGCGGGTCGAGGACGATTCCTCGGCCGAGGGAGCCGAAGGCAGCCGGGCTCCTTTCCGGAGGTAAGCGGCGGGGAAGCCCCTCGCCCGGTGGTGTCCCCCCCCTCCGCCCCAACCCCCCTCGATCCTCTGGGAGGCAACTATCCAGGCGGGGGGGGGGGCAGTAGACTCGGGCAGCCAGGCCAGGCTAGTCCCGGGATGGGAGGCCAGGAGGAGATCCCAAGAGCTATTAGGCCATCCGATGTAGACTTGTCATTGCAGGAATGTCCGGGGAAGCCCCGTGGTGCCCCCCTCCCCCCAATTCCCCCCCCCCATGCTCTGGGAGGCAACTATCCAGGCAGGGGCCGCAGGGCATGGGGGGGTGGGCGGCAGCAGCCTCCAGCAGCCAGGCCAGGCCGGTCCCGGGATGGGAGGCCAGCAGGAGATCCCAAGAGCTACTAGGCCGTCCGATGTAGAGTTGTCATTGCAGGAATCATCTCGGATGGCCAACCTCAGAGAAAGGATGTTTCCAAGCAAATACAACTCAGGCAAACAAAGTCACTCATCTCAAGGAGGATTAGAGAGAGGAAGTAAACATATGTTAGACTTTAATTAGAGATCATTAATTGCATGGATTACTGTGCTAAACAGTAACGAAAGTTAAGCAGTAACCAAAGTTAACCAGTGATGGAGGGTAACTAAAAAGGTGTATAAATGGAAGACTAGACTCCAAGAAAGATCATCATGGTTCAGTTGTTCATGATCAAACAACTCGACTGCCTCGTCATTACAACAGTCAGACCGGCAGGCTGGAAGGCGCTTGGCGGGGGGGGGGGGGGGGGGGGGGCGGCCTGCCTGGAGACAATGGAGGGATTCACTTGGGTGCAAGTGAGCGTGTGTTGTGGGGGGTGTGTGTGAAAGTTTCCACAGAGAACCACGAATAAAATGGCCTCGTTGGCTCCCTGCCTGCGTTTACACACCTTCACCCCTGTTATAGGGTCCGAAATCCCCGAAATCTTCAGCACAACCACCAGGGCCGGGTGGGCCCCAAGGCCCCACTGAGGGTGAGAATGGCCCTCTTCAGTGGGGGGGGGGAATTGGTGCTCCTGGGGACGGCCCCTCCCCCCTCCCTCCCCCATTGGGTCTCCAGTGGAGCCCTGGATAAAATGGCCGCCAAAGGGCCCTCCCAACGGGCTGGATGCCCAGCAGGGCCAGGGCAGAGCTTGCAAAAGGCCGCAGGAAAAGCCACGTCCCAAACCAGAGGCCGAACTCTGATTTGTTTGTCATTGGGGGCGGGGATCACCTTCGTCCTTCCCGTCCCTTCCCGGGGCTTGGCCTCCCTCGCCCCTTTCCTCCCTCCCCTC